CGACATGAATGGCAGCAATTTTCCGGTATAAGCAGAATACAGTAAGAAGCACAAACATTCATTGATCTTTTCTTACCATTCCGACACAATAGAAACTGGCACAAGCTAACTCAACTACAATTGAAGTCCATATAGAAACTCGCTTACAACCTCATGCATGCCCCTTACGAAATATCACCGCACAATATCAACAAAGCGCCTTAATAAGCTGGTCTACAACGCAAATTCATTGACTCGTCTATTGCAGGGAATAATACGGATCGATCGTCGATTAAAGGAAGGGCAATCAATACAAGAACCCTAAGAACTACAACGTCACCGTAAACTTTTCAACATCATCAGCAGCAGCAATTTCAAACCATCCCGTCAACAGAATCTGCGACAACCAATCTATACCCGACTTAACACATCAATTCATACATTCAAACCGACAACTCAACCTAAGGGCATTCTATCTACGCTACATCACCATGAACCCTAGCATCACCGACATGCATCACTGACATCACAAACATCATACAATGATCTCAACATCATATCAATAGAAGCTTTAAAAAGCCAATCTAAATACAAAACATCAACAACCATACGACATTCAAACAAAACAACACCTCAACTAATACAAGGGCAATCTATCTACGAAACATTACCAAGAACCCTAGCATTACCGACATGCATTACCGACATGCTTCACCAGCATCACCAACATCATGATCATCAAACAATCATCTCAACACCATATCGATAGAAGCCTTAAAAAGCCAATCTAATATAAAACGCCAACAACTATACATTATCCAAACAAAGCAACAACTCTCAATCATACAAGGACATCAGCGCTGAGCCTAGAACCGATTTTCATCGCCATCTTCATCGCCATCGACACACCATCGACAAAACCTCGTAAGAGATCATCCTTCGGGATAATTTGGGAGAAGCGTTAAGAAAGCCCAATCACCCATCGACACCTTCTTTTTATTAACATTTCTTATTATCTATTTATTTATCTATATCATCTTCTACATCATCTACTCACCATTATCTCATTCATATCTTCATCGCCATCTTCATCGCCATCTTCTTGTTAACTTCATCTTTATCTATATATCATCTTAATATCGTCTTATATTATCTCAACACCATCTAGATTTACATTTATACAACACACCAACTATATCGCCAAACCTCATAAGAGATCGCCCAATAGGTACATCTTCAGATCATGCCTATTGGGTAATTTGGGAGAAGCGTTAAGAAAGCCCAATCATCTTCTACACCACATTTTAATATCATTTCATTATTATCTATTTAATTGTCTATATTATAATCTTAATCACCATCTATATCATCTGAACATCTCAACATTTCAACACCATCTATATTAATATTAACACTATACACCGACTAATAACAATATCACCAAACCTCACAAGAGATCGCCCTTTAGATACACTTTCAGGTTATATCTATTGGGTAATTTGGGAGAAGCGTTAAGAAAGCCCAAGTATCTTTTATACTTATCTTTTTAATATCATCTTATTATTATCTATTTAATCATTTATATCACTATCTATATAATCTTCTATATCATCCACTCACCATTATCTCATTATAATATCTTCATCGTCATCTAGATTACTATCTATATCATTTCAACATCTCAATATCATCTACATCAACATTAATACTTAATACTATACACCGACTAATAAATACATCACCAAACCTCATAAGAGATCGCCCTTTAGGTATCACCCTCGGGTCAAGTCTGTTGGGTAATTCGGGAGAAGCGTCAAGAAAGCCCGAATACCATCTCAACATCATCTCAACACTATCTATATCAACATTAATACTTAATACTACACACCAACTAATTAATAACCACATCGCCAAACCTCACAAGAGATCGCCCTTTAGATATCACCCTCGGGTCAAGCCTATTGGGTAATTCGGGAGAAGCGTTCAGAAAGCCCGAGTACCAGCACAACGCCAAGAATATTACTTCACTTCACCATCAGAAGCTTTAATAACAAGCCAATCTAATATAATCATAATCATAATAATATTAATACAAATACACACGCAAATGTATCACTGTCCGTCAACACGAAGCACAGCACAAGAGGAAGCAAGAAAGTGCACGAGAAAGTGTGGAAGAAGAAAAGTATGTATCCATATAATCCAAATCCAACGCTTCTTCCTCATCTACGCTTATCACTCCAGTCCCATCTGTCTATCTATTCATCAACCTAACACTTTGCAGTACAATCGCACATATCCCGCTGTTCCGCCAGCGTCTCGTCTCAGACGCTATTTTGTCGAGTTCAGAAAAGGTAATGCTACATTCAACCCAAAATCCCCAAGCTCCACGCATCCATTCATCCATCCATGCATAGCCACCCACCACAAACCAGCTAACCCTCAAACCAAAGACCAAGCCTCCAATACTAACCAACACCAACACCACCGCAAATCCCATCCATCCATCCACCTCCACCCCATTACAAACTAACCAACACCCAACCTAACATCTTCTTCAAGCGCCAGTACAAAGACCAGCAACTTGATAAAAAAAGAGTTTCCTATTAATAGGAAGTTTGCAATCAAAAAATTGAACAGAGAAAGCCGCACGCGACTTTCCTTGACCCCGAAGGATCAAGCCCGCCTAACATTCGTGATCGGAAGATGGGTCGGAAAACGATTTTGAAGAGAAAAGATAAGAAAAGAAGGAAATTATGAGAGGAAGAAAGGTTTATAAAGGGAATTGGAGGATTGCTAGTGGGGATAGTGGTGGTGTTTGTTTGTGGGAAGTGAGGGTTGGAGAGGAAGAAGATGGGGAATTTAGTTTGGTGTGGGTAGTCTGGTAGTTGGAAATGATAGGAAGGAGATAGGGAAATTGGTTCGGTCTAGATAGTCAGATAGTGTCGGTTTTATGGTACCGTCGAGACTCGTATGTCAATGTTGAGTTTCGGTGGGTACTTTCTTCTGTGTGAGGGAAACCGTAGATGAGGGGTAGCTAATTAAGAAGTTGTTTATATTATCATTGAATAATTTGTGCTCAGAGTGAGGAGGGAGTTATGTGGTTCCTTCTTTGTAAATATGATTGGGAGCAAATGTTCCGATTGACCGGTATAGAGGTTGTTTAACTGGGAGATCGACGATGGAATGTATTTGCAAGGCAAGAAGTTTCCACAGATATAGCAAACAGGGACCGAGAGTGATGGGGAGATACCAATGCTATTGAAGAAACAGACTGTGCATGTAATGGAATGATACGAACGAGGAAGAACCTTCAACATACACACGAAAGATTCGAAGAACCAGACAAAAAGCCACCGAATGTTTACGATCTGGCCGAAATGATGCCATGAAGACTGGGATATAGAAGAAAGAGCAAGCAAAAGTAGGTAGTTGCAAACCGAAAGAGAAAAAGTATAGCAAATCCGGAAGACTTACGATCCGAGTCATTCAAGACATCGAATGATACGAAAATCATAGCAGGAAACGAGAGAAACTTTATAATACTGCCGATATGACCACCGGAAAGAAATTTGGAAGGCAGAAGGAAAGAAGAAGAAGGGGAAAACGCGGTATGGACGATGTTCCTGAAGTCGGATGATCGAATGTTCGAAGCGTATGTAGCAAGAAGTCCAAATCCAAATCCAAGTTCAAGTTCCCCAATCGAAACGAAAAAGTAAAGAATGAGAATCAATCAAATATCGCAGATCTTGGTAGATTGCTTCTATCACCTAGGTAGCTTTTGTCCGCTGCTATCTACATAGATTCCACGGAGAGGGGGCAATTTCCAGGAAAAGAGGAAAAATTCACAGATTACTCAGGATATACCGTTAGCGAATTGAAGGTATATCTGGATTTAGGAAGCTGGTGTCCCCTTATGCCTTGCTCCAAATTATGTAGCTCTTAGTTCGTGATTCATAAAGCATATGGTTGTATAAAATGTAGATACAAAATGATTTTTATATCGAGTAATGCCAGATTGTTGTGCAATAAACGTCGGGGGGTCGACCTTGAGTAAATAAGATAGAATGATGTGATATTGAATGATGTGTACTCGTATATGAAGAGAGAAAGATGTTCGAGGGAACTCATCCAGTTCCAAAGGTACTGTTATAGATACCTGTACAAGACAATAGACGAGTATTAGACGAAGATATACTCATACCGGTATCGTAATCTATTTTCAAAATATATATCATATTACAAAACGCAGGAAAAATTCATGAGACGGCAATCAATGCAAATTCATGATGAAAAGCTACCAAGTAAATACTCCCAGTCTCCAGATGTGTGTAGACTTCATATGCATTCCTACCTTCTATTGCGCTAAATTATGAATGCATGATGGACATCACTTCCGGACGATATGCGAGATTGAGCTGCCATCCCAATCTCTCCATCCCAACCCCCAGCCCATCGCGCACCCACCTCCATAATCCACCTCCACAAGCCACTTCACAAAAATAACTGCCAGCTATCACAATAGCAACAGCAACACACCAGAACATTAATCCTGAAAAAACCATGAAAAAGAAAGGTTGGGAATCAACTCGAGTACTAGATAATTAGTATTCACCCATCCATCCATTCCGTCCCTCCTTCCCTCCCTCTCTCTCTCTCTTCCCCCCCTCTAACTCTGACTCATCCTTAGTCGATCGGTATCGATAAGATAGATGATCTACTATACCTAGTAATACCTACCTTGTAGGTAGTAGCTCCATTCCATATCCTTATGAGTAGGAGTAGGAGGAGGAGTAACGAATAAGAGGAAATATCGATACTCGTACACCGCATGATAGCTGTGAAAAGAAAAGAAAAGAAAAGAAAAGAATGATAAACAGGCACCTAGTGATAAAAAATAGCAATCATAAAGAAAGTGAAATTATAATGGTCTCTTGGTTTCTTCTTCACGCCAGTCTTCAGTCAAAGTACCCCCTCTTGCACTTTAAAGTGTGATATGGGTTAATGGGGAACATCATGTATTATGCTAAGGCAAATGCAAATGCTAATGCTAATGCTAATGCTAATGCTAATGCTAATGCTAATGCTAATGCTAATGCTAATATAATCAACAACCAGCGATATGCGGACCCAAATTGAATGATGCATGCAATCACCTGATACCAGTACTATGATCTTAATGTTTTCAATCATCTCTCCTCTTTCACTTCGTAACAATGCTTCCCAATTTGACACACCAAAAAGTCTATCCCACCCTATCTTGACCATTTCCACTTATTTCATCATTTTAACAATGAAAGGATGCTTCAAGGCTTCTGTAGGTGTGATTCTTTTCTCTGGATTGAGCGCCAAGCATCTCTCCAGTAGGTCCGCAAACAAAGTCAAATCCTTTTGCTCCACCTCTGTCAGACCCTTCGACGCCGAGATTAGACGAGTACGAAGATCTCTGCTTGGCTTTGCAAATGCCATCGTCTTAACGACATCTTTGCCAGTCAATTTGTCCGGCTCAACACTCCTGAAATTCAACATGTCATCGAAATGAACACCTGCGTAATCAGCTTTTTTCAACATCTTGACTGAGAATTTTCCGCGACAATCCATGATGGAGCGTAACATTTGGTTATTGGATCGACCAGCAAAAAGGATTTTACCAGTATACAACTCGTAGAGGGTACATCCTATAGACCAAATATCGATAGCGAAGTCATACTTCATACCGAGAATAATTTCCGGTGCACGATAGAAACGAGAGACAAGATATGGCGTGATCTCATTATCAGTTGCATCAGAAGCTGACCCCAAGTCACAAATCTTGAGCATGTTGCGCGTCTCATTGACCTAAGTAATAAGTCAGCAAATAATCTTCAGACTTTTGGAGTGGAACTTACTAGAATATTATCAGGCTTCAAATCAGCGTGCAAGATATTGCACTTCTTCATTAAGCCGAGTCCGAGGAACATTTGCTGAGCATAAGCTCGAACAGCTCTGAGATTGATACCAATGTTGTTTCCGAATTTCTTTAGAACTTCACGCAAGTTGATGCTTAAATGTTCAAAGACCATACAAAGATGGCCCTTGTGCTCAAAATATCGCTCCAATCTTATCAAGTGTTTCTTATCCTCAGGATCTGAATCTTTGATCTTCTGCAAAATTTCAATCTCTTTCATTCCAGCTTTCTTCCTGGGAGGTTATTAGCTTGTGATGCTGCGAGCAATCATAGACAACTTACATAATCTCGTTATTCCTGATAAGCTTGATTGCAACCAGCTTTTGTGTAGTGATATCCATAGCTCGAACCACACCCGAGAACATACCTTTTCCAAGATTTGCTTGGACATGATACCTACCATTCAGAAGCTCTCCGAGGATGATTTTGTAGTAACCCTCAAGATCGTCCCAATTATCGAGCATGCCAATGTCGAGTTCCTTAGCTTGTGGAATAGGTACCGCTCTAGCAACATCACCATTCGTAACACCTTGGGGCTTATCACCTGAAACCGAACCTTCGGCAAACATATCGTCATCGTCGTCCTCTGCAAACATATCAAATTCGTCCTTAGGTTTCACAGCCTTAACTTCAACGGTCGCAACTTCGGCAGGAAGGAGAACATCTTGTTCGGATGCCGGCTTCGTTTCGTGGTATGCCCCGGATATTACTTCATCGGTAAATCGCTGATCGTCGCGTTTTCTATCTTCTCTCATATCCATGGTCGGGTCATAATCTGCGGCTGAAGGACCATCCTCTTCACCTGCGGTTGAATTTCCATGCGAGTTTGCTAGATCCTGGTCGTTTGTAATTGCGAAAGCGGAAGGAGATCCTGGTTCCATTGGGGTTGCGGGAGTTGAGACCTCGGAAGATGCTGAAGTTGAAGAATTAGAAAGAGCTTTGTAATTCAGCGTAATTTGCTTACCAGTTGGACCCGAAGGACTATCATCTTCACCTTGTGCTGGAGTGGACGCTCCGGACTTGACGCCTAAGTGCAAAGCTTGTACCAATAAGGGTGTGCCGAGACCTCTATACTTAGCTTTTATGGCCTCGCGACGTTTACGTCTCTGTTCTATGAGGGTAGCTTCATCAACCTGCTCCTCTTCCGGAGCTTCGGCAGAAGCCTCTTCGGTAGGGGTATATCTGAGTTGCATTAGTAAACGCTGAGCATGAGGGTTATAATAAGGAGCGTACGTTTCCATTTCACTTCCATTACTCTGATTTCTATGCTGTTGCAATTGCCCTTGAGTAGTTTTAGCCTCGTGTCTCGCGTTATCAGTAGGCAGCGGGCCCTTTTCCCGATTGCTCACTGACTGGTCTCTTGAACTTCGGTATGAACCTCCATACCCGTAAGGCTTGCTTCTATCCGCGGAATTACCATATCGGCCGCCATTATTCATTGCCTGTCCATTTCGTCCATTTCTATCCCCATCACGATTAGCCCTGTAAGGCGAACGACTCCTAGTTCGGGGTCGTTTTTTGGAATGCCTATCTCGATGGTCATGATCGTCATATAGTAGTTCAGAGGATGTCGCTGGTGCTTTGTCTACATCCTCATATTGAGCTTGTGGATGGCGTCTATAGTCTTGGGAGGAATCTTCGTAATGAACTTTGAATCGTCTAGGATCATTTCTGCTACGGTCTGGATAGTCATCATCTCTAGGTCTTTTGGAGCCTCGAGAGTGTCGGTCGGAATAAGGAGAACGACTTCTTTGATCTCTAAATCTATGTGATTGTTCTGGGGAGCGTGGTGAAATAGAAGTCGTACTTGAACGGGTTCTGTCTTGACGGTCAACGGAAGTGCCACCGAATGTACGCAGCGACGTAGTTGCCTTCTTCTCCACTACTCCATCTCGAATCTCGCCCTCATCGGAGCTTGATGGCGATGTCATGTTCCCTGTCATAACTGTAAAGACGGTAGAGTGCCCTGCCTTTTGTTTGGATAAATTTGTGTCAGCCAAAGATCACAAACAAGATTCCCAAAGTGAGAAGAGCCCAACCGGGTATCTATCGCCTCTTGTATTATGTCTCAGTACATAATCTTCTAAGAACGGAGGTGATGTGTAGTATGATATATGAAGCCGATGAAGTGTCAATTATAAGTGTGACTGCCAAATTGTTGTTTGTGATTGAATGGTATAATCGATAAATTTACATCACGAATGACAATTGACGGGGGTTCAGTCGCAGCTACTTACAGTACAGTATCAATAAAAGCGCTAAGCTATATTTATACTAGCGTGCTTATGAGCCCTCCTTGTCAGCTTTCTTTAAAGAAAACCCGCAAAAGTTCCCTTCCCCCACCTAAAAGTCCCTCGAGAAGTCCAGAATAATTCCCCATTTCTTCCTTGCCAAAAGTAATCACTTATTTCCCCAAAAACCACCCAAACTTCGATAAATCTAATTCAAAATGGGAGGAAGTTCGTATAATCTTTTTCATCTTTCTCAGCCCAGCATGATACTGACCAAAACTCCTAGACGGCACAACCCCACTCCACAACAAGGTGAAGAAGAAGGTCAAGGTTGAGGATGACGAGGAGACAGCCGCCTTCAAGTTGAAGCAGAAGGAGGGTAAGTGACTCTTTGTTCCTATCTATTCGAGGTATCGTTTTACTGACGTATTCCCCTCTCAACAGATAAGGCAAGACAGGATAAATTAGCCAAAGAGATCGGTGGCCAGAAAGGACCCTTGAAGACTACGTCCCACGGTATTTCCGGCAGTGGTGGAAAGAACAAGAAGTAAATGGGATTCGATTCTATTTGAGCACAGGCGTGGATGATAAGGCGTATGGGTTTGATGGAGTATTTTCAGACTTGTGCGACAGCGCTTTGAGCTGGACACGAGGAATCATTCAGCACCAAGGGACATCTGAAATGCTCAGGCATATTCTAGGCAAGGGCAGTCTACATTGATATGAAAGTTGTGGCCAAATGCAGCCTTGTCTTTAATTCTGAAAAGTCCTTCTATTGTTATCTCCCAGTGATGGCAGCATAGTTACAAATTCGCCGGTTACAAGTAGATGGAAATCTTGGCCGACTGTGCCGATATAGTCTAATTTTGACTCTGGCAAGGCATTCTAAATCTCTGCGCCCCCTCCCCCCCAAACACATACAAAGCTACAAAGTTTTGGATAAATGCGGAATGTCATGAGGCCATGGGTCTCCCGCCTCATGGTCATGAACCCCCCCTTGGCCACAACCGCGGCCTTGGTATCATATTACTATTTTCCTGACACTCTATTCGTTATTTAGATATTTTAATACTTTCCCAAAACACTCAGTTGAAGTAGCCTCGAAGTAGCATCTTTAAGATTGGTACCGCTACTGTAGAGCATAATCCTGCTCCGCCTTCGCCTTTGCATTAATTTCAGCTTTCGCCTTCATGACTTCCCTGATTTTGACTTGCTGCCTTGCCATGCCAGCCCTCCCTGCGTTCTCCCAATTTTCAATCACGAAATGTTTGACCAGCTCAAGGTCGTAGAATCCATTCTCATCCTTCATTGCAGCCTTTGGCACACTTCCCTCGTATGGCTCTCCATCTATGATGATACCCTTCAGAACTTTGATAGCTGCCAACCTCATTTGACCATCCACTGTATCCAAAGGAATATTGCCCTTGATACCATCCCTCGTTAATTCCATTAGATGTCTTTTCAGATTCCATTCTTGTTGTCTGGTTTCGTATTCCCCCTTGACACCAAACTTTTCGAAAACTTCATTTCGAATCTCTTTCCTCGTGATTTTACTATCGCCATATTTCCTTTCTTTGCGACATTGAGGTATGAATTCATCAACCCAAGCTTTGAAAGTAGGACGTTTTGTCATGCGTTGTCGATCATTGTGCTTTAGCTTTTTCCTTTCTTTTACTTCCCCTTCGACTATATCTTTGACCGAAAACATTCGACATGAAGCTGCATATTCAAACATTTCCTGACGAGTACTAAAACGTTTCCACCACTTTTCTTCATCTAAGCCTAAGAAGTCGAGTATCTTGGTAGGTTCATCAGTCAGAAATAACATGCTCTTCTTCCTGTCAGCCAACTCAATTTCAGGAATCCGAATGAACAATGCACGGTTATTGACAGTAAGTCCAAATCTCCTGATGGTTGTGCCGATGATGTTCCATAAGTCGCCATGGGAAGAGTGAAACAGTTCCCAACCAAATTCATGCTCATCTTTACATGTATGAACATCAACCTGAACATACCACTCCTCTGATGCCGCATCTGTAGATTCGTCCAGTTCCCCCCCACCCTCACCTACCACATCGCCATCACCAGCGATGGAATTTTTCGGCCAAGGAACCGCAAAGTTGATGGTGGGACTGCCTTTATCTTGTATCCAGGCGACTGCATTCAAAGCTTTTTTGAGCCTGTCTGCAACTCGTTCTTCTGAAGAGAACGCGTCCTTCAAAGGCAACGCAACAAGAATATCGACATCTCCATACGTAGTCTTGCCAGGGCCCTCGATAGCACTCGCAACTTTGGAGTAGAATCCTCGTAGAATGGCTTGATTTTGTTTGAGAGCTTTGTTGTAGACTTCCCGACTCATACGAGGCGTTTTGATGGATAAGATATGAGAAACAAAAGCCAGGCCACCCATTATATCAAAAGTCTGCAGTAATAAATTAATATAAAAAGTTGATTATTTAAATGAAGCAAATATTATTGAATGAGAACAGGAGAGAATGGCTAGCTAATGGGGCGTGGCAGACATACTATTAGCAACATCAAAACAACAATAGGTAAGCATTATGCTACAAACATAATGAAAATAATAATAGGACTACCTAGATTAGAGACCTGTCTGATGAAGAAGAAAAGAAAGCAAATGAACACCAAACTTCGAGTACAAGTAGATGAATTACAGTAGCCTTTCTAGCCTCATTTTGCGAGTTGCCAATATTAAGATTACCTAAGGGTTCCCGCATATTCCAAAAGCTTTGGTTCCTTTTGTAAGGGAAGAAATGATCAATACAGACTCATATGAATACTTGTCTAATTGAGAAGAAGAACACAAAATCGTCATTACTGCGCCTCAACATCAATTGGTAAGGTTTTTTATGATCAATCCAAGCGCTACAATATTAATAATTAATATATGACTGGCCACCCCCCTCATTTCATCACTGCCACAGCCCCCCAAGGATTCTTAGGGCTGCGACAAGAAATCTTGATCTTGTGTTTGCCTCCTGCGCAGCACTGTAATAAATAACCACTGAACTAACCACTGAACCCCTTCTGCTCTACCAACTTCCTACTATCTTACACAACTAAACTTCAGCAAATTTACACTCACAGGTACAGACTTCTTCTTACACCACCGACACAAACCAAAGCATGTCATATCCAAATTATCCACCTTATGGTGCACCACCGGGTGGACGTGAGTTATTCTCTGTGCTCTCATTTGCGACAAATATCTAATAACTATGAGACAGTTGCCCCGCAATCTGGATACCCACCACAAATACCACCCCGGCGTACGTGAATATGCGCATGCGATCAATGTATGGGCATCTGTTAACATACAAGTAGATACCCCTCAACCATATCAGCAATACCCTCAAGCTCACAATCCATATCCTCCAAACCAACCATATGGCGCTCCTCAACAACCTCCATATCCGCCGCAACAACAACCCTTCCAACAATACCCTCCACAACAAAGCTCATATCCTCAACAGTCACCTTATGGCGCGCCTCCGCCAGTTCCATCGGGACAGTATCCCCCGCCGCAACAACCACCGTACCCTCCGTCGCAAAGCGGATATCCCCAACAATCATATGGCGCCCCTCCCCCGGGCGCACAGCCTCCTGGATACGGTGCTCCAATGAGTAACGGACAACCTGCCCCGCCATCAGTGGGTTATGACTTATCATTACCGAGTCCTCCGCGCATACCTTACGACGGACGCGCAGATGCGCAGGCATTACGTAAAGCTATGAAAGGCTTCGGGACGGATGAGGCAACTCTTATCGAAGTTCTACATAACAAGGGCCCTTTGCAAATAGAAGTTTTGCGACAAACTTTCAATGATACTTTTAAAAGGAAACTCCTAGCGGATGTGGAGAGTGAAACAAGCTCGTACTTCAGGGAGGGTCTAGCTGCGATTATTCGTGGTCCCTTGATACAAGATTGCCACTTGCTTTATAGCAGCATGGATGGAGTAGGCACAAATGAGAAATATCTGACCGAAGTATTGATGGGCAGGTCGAATGCTGATATCAATGCGATTAAATCAATGTATCAACGCCGATACAGGAGGAGTCTTGCAGGCGATCTTAAGGGTGATTTGAGCATGAAAACAGAGGACCATTTCTTGATGGTATTAGAGGCCAACAGAAACGAGGATAGCGCGCCGGTTATCCCTCGCGATGTTGAACGGGATGTCGCAGCTATATGGAATGCAACAGAGGCTAGAAGTGGACACGAAGGAAAGACAGTTTGTGAGATATTTACCAAACGAAATGATGCTCAGCTTCGAGCGATCAACCATACGTACCAGCAACAGCATGGAAAACCATTGGAATGGGTTATCAAGAAAGTGAGTAATGTTATTACAAATATGTTGAGAAGATTCATTGACTCTCGAGAAGAATTTTAGTGGCCATATGGAGGATGCGCTCCTCTACCAACTTCGCACAGCTACAGATAAAGCCATGCGCGATGCAAATCTTATGGAGGAATCAATGAAGGGTTTCGGTACAAAAGATAAAATACTTGTCGCTCGAGTCATTCGATGTCATTGGGACCCAAGACATATGGATCAAGTTAAAGGCGCATATCAGCACGCTTACGGACGTTCATTAACTTCAAGAATTGCTGCGGACACGAGTGGCTATTACGAGAAGTTGATGGTGAAGTGCGTCGAGTGCAGTAATCTGGTTCAACCTGATTATACGTGGTTTTAAATCATTGGCACTAGGAAGGATCTCGTTTGGTTATGGTACTAATTGGGTTATGGTACTACCGTTTATAGGGATGTCGTTTGGATTTGACGATTCGGGAATACGGTTATTAGGATGAAGGGAATATGTGATAGAGGGAATGGAAGACACTCATGTTTTCCACCAGTGAGCGATCACGGAATCTTCAATTACAGCCTAAGATTTTGGTTATGCGGCGTTGGTGCAGGAAAGGTTGATGGGATGATATCATAATTAGGGCAATGTGTAATGAATTTAATTTACTTCAATCACTACTGAGATTTATCTATAAATACAATACTCGGGTATTATTACTCATACTTTTCTTATATTTCTTACTCTATATCGTTTCGTTTCCTCAAATCACTTCATATGCTTGACATATCGTATCGTATAGTAAGTGACTTTGAATTAACTATTTCCCACACTTCATTCGCACTTAATAATTCATTCGGGTACTAAAATCACTCCTGCAATACTGCTAAACATCCAACCTTAGTACCACTAAGCATGTGTCTGATTCGTCTGATACATTTCTACTATTTCTACTATGATTCTAGTGTTTTTAATTGATGCTTACTTATCTGTATACATATCATCATACTTTACTACATTCTTTTCTTAGTTTTCTATACCTACTGTATATAGATTAACACTATAAATACATTACAATGTTTCAAAGTGTATTGATTCACAATGATATCGTAAATGACTAATGATATAACTATTTGAATAAGTGTATTCCTATTTTCATTTCAGTTGTTCTCGTTTCTCATTTCTAATCAGAAGAGATTTGATTTGGCCACTAGTCATATATCGAAAGCAAATAAGTAAGGGCCGCGATATAGATCACGCTAGCAGGTTTTAGTTCTGTTTTATTACTCTATTAATATCCACTATACTAATATAGTCTTATTAACTAATTTCTACTAAATCTCTTTCATCTTTCACTTCTTCATTATCATTTAGTAGTTTGATCTCTATTTTCATAGATTTTACCAAAATCCGAACACTTTCACCACTACTTTAGCAATAAGTTTATTCTTAGGCTTAAAGATAACAAGTCCCTAATCAATACGATTCATTGTAAGCGCTTTCTTTTACTTTGAGTTGTTTTAATACCAAGGGATATCTCAGGTCCTTGGCAATTTATTCATTACATCTGTTTTAAATAATCTTCTAAAGGTCGAAAATACTAATTTCTTCTCAATACAGATCGATTACGCTTTCTTGAGAATAGTTTCTTATAGATTTGCGAAATCTTTTTAGTTTTCAAAACTACTCTACTACTATTGAGTGTTCAATATCTTTGCATCACATATCACAGATCACATAAGTACGTATATATTTCCAAATTCACTCGTTTCGATTCGATCACCTTGATCACATGATACATATAATCAACATTGCCTTGATAGAAGGATCAACCAATTCACTTTTGCCGCACAATACTTTTAGATTCAAATAATCTAATTTGATCAAAACAAAAATTACTTCCGTTAACAAACAAACTTAAGGTTTAGCCATCACTTCGATTCAGATCGAGTAATAAGGATACTTCAACACGTGAAGCTCACGTGGATTCTAGATCGAGACCAAATGCCTCCTATGCGTTCCACGCGTCGCAACGAGAGTGATAATGACTCTGAGCTCTCAGACGTTGACGTGGATGAGATAGAAAGTGTGGCTTTCTCAGACACCCCAAAATCTGTCGCAAATCCAGTCACCTCTGATTCACCAGAAATCGACGAGGTAAACGGCAATCAGTCTGCTGTCGATTCTCGCACTGTCTCAACATCATCGAATATAGCGCCAAATGGTGAAACCATCAATCTTGACACCCAACCACCATCTGAGGATGAAGGCGACCAAGAAGAAGGCTTCTTAACGGCATCCGAGTCTCCTCTGGAGAGTAAGGTGTTGACACCTCAAAGCAATGAAATCCGAGAAGAGAAGTCCTCTACCACAGAAATGGAGCCTAAGAATGACGCATCAGAATCATCATCGAAAACTTTGAAGAGAAAATCTTCCCCGAGCGAATCTCCCAAGAAAGCTTCTTCGAGTTTTGCAACCCAAAGATCACATCTTCGGCAAGATATTGCTACGCCAAGGCAAACCTCCGCAGTGGTCTCTGAGCGTCAGTCTGCCGGCCATAATAAATCACCATCCGCTTCAAGCAAGGTCGAAGAAGAGTCTGCCCGTTTGCGAGAAGTATTATTGCATGTGTCAATCGAGGCAACTCAAGCAATATTGCGCGAGCAGTGGAGGAGCTTCATCTTTACGAATGCAGCAGATAGCCACGTCACCTTTATTCTCCGCGCTGGTTTGAAGAATGCCAGTCCAGATATTCTTGCGCGAATCTTCAAAGATTCCGGTGTCATGAAAGATACTTTGGTGGATGCCATTAGCCCTAAACAGCCCATTGTCGCCAAGGTTCTCAAGAACGCTTCTTCAAATCAGCTCTTAGATCTCGTACCCAGCAAGATTCTCGACCAAGCCCTGTCCGAGCGATTGAAGAATGTTCCGGCCAAAACACTTATACGATGGCTTGCTGAGGCCGATAGACTTGGCTACAGTATTGATGATATCTTGGACGAAACCGATGAGACTGTCATACCAAAGATGCCAAGTAGGGCACAAAGCAATGATGATAGTGATACTGACATGACATATGACGAACCGAGAAACCCCGAAATGATATATGATGAACCAAGATCCTCCGAACCTCAATCATTGGATCCTCTTCTAGCTGAACAGCAACGAGTCATCGCCGCTCAAAAGGCTCAACTCGATGCCCAATTAAACACCCTTGCTGATTTGCGATGTCCCACATGCAATTATAAGTTTGATACCGTTAGAGGGTACAACTTTGTAAGTTTTGAGCTATCATAGTCTTATGAAAGAGCTAACGATGATATAGCATCGATCGAAAAATGTCTGTACTAAGATTCAGCCCTCCGGATTGAAGTTTTATTGCAGCAATTGTGCGCAAGGATTTACGACCAAGCAAGGAATGCTATATGTATGTTTATTCTATTTGATTTGAAATTTTTACTAACAAGCCAAAGCATGAAAAGAAGCGCGTTTGTCTCGGGGAAGAAGGACAGGAAGATGATGAAATCATTATTCCAACCCACCAAGAACGTCAAACTTTTGTCTCGCATCTGCAACGATCTCGAAATCCATTAGATTTTCAAACCGAAATGCATGCTGAGCACCAACCGCACAATCCGAACATCCAGGTATCAATCCGAAATATCCCTCGACCACCCCTCCATACTCCAAAAGTCTCAAAGAAGCTTGCATCAATCATCGCTGCCTCCCCATTCGATAGTGGGACTCGTCACTCACCATCTGAACTCACCCCAGAGAAACACGCTGCTCTAGAAGCTGCTCTCCAGGCAGTCGAAGACAAATTCGCTAGTGATAAAGCCACCATCCCAGCCGACTGGCCTGCAGATAAACGAGAGGCACGACTCACTTCACTCAAAAACGGAAACGCATCTCGCAAATCTCAAATTCGCAAATCGTTTGGTGTCACTCTTCGTATGCGCGACAAGGATAAGGAAGCAAAGAAAAGACGTGAGGTTTTGAGTACGCGTTCTCCATCAGTACCTGGGGTAGGATACCGAGTTGATGAGTTCCACAATCCATCACTAACCAGCTATTCATTCGGTGCTCGGCAAACGAGTCAAGGTTCACCGGCGACGAGTGTGAGAATGGAAATGGTGGATATGAGACCTGCTACAGGCTTTTCGCCAATTAATCAACCGCAACCGCAACATCCATATCCATCTCCATATTCACAAGCACCACAAGGTCACACCATGATGCAGCACTCTGTCCCTTCCCAAACTCAAGAATTTCTTCACCGATTTCCACCTGTGGGACCGGTAGGAAATATGTCGCATATGGCTTATGGGAATCCGGGTTTGGCTCAACACGTAAGTCCTTATGGACCCGGACCTGGACCTATAAATGGACCTATGGGTGGACCTGTAAATGGACCTATGACTGGAACTCCACAACAGGGATACAGAGCGCAAGATCATGCGAATAAGAGAGTAAAAAGAAATTCAAATGCAGGGACGATATGGGCGGACCAAGAAAGAAGTCGACATTTCGCACCGCTGAATTCGGCGCCAATTGCGATGTCGATGGCGATGCAGGGGAGTCAACCTGTATCAGGATTGAGAGGTGGAGTTATGGGTCTGGATGGAGCTGGAGTTGAAGGGTATAGTAGACCGAGATCGGGCGGGTCGAGTGGGGTTGAGAGGATTGGAGGACTAGGAAATGGAAATGGAAATGGGGTCGGAGCTATTAAGAGGGTGCCGGTGAAGGGCTTACAGAGGAGGTGGGAGGCGTTGAATGGGAAGGGGCCGGGTGTGAGAGCGGAGGCTGAGGCGGAGGCGGGTGTCATTATGAGTGTCGAGAGGGCTGGAGGAAATGAAATTGCTTCGGAGGAAAATAGAGATGTGGTGATGGAAAAGGGTAAGAAGCCGATGGTTGGAGGGGCAGTGAATGTGGTGGATTTGATTAGTGAGGATGAGAGTGGGGATGAGAGTGGGGCTGAGAATGATCCGGTTAGTGAGGATGAGTGAGTGAGTGATAGATAGATAGATGGATGGATGAATTTCTGGGATGAGGGTATGATATTTGGGATGATGGGTGGAAAGTAAGGCAATTCGGATGGTTGGATGGTTGGATGGATGGATTGATGGAGGCATGGATGGTTGGGTTGATGGCAACATGGATTTCACTCTCGTTCTTTGCGATTTGGCATTTCTTCGTCTTTTATTTTCTTTTTTGTTCGGGGTTTTCTCTCGTTGTTTGCATCTGCTTCTACTTCAGCCGAAGATAACAATCGTATCTTGGACGGATGAAATGAGATGAGATGAGGGAAAGCGAGTAGAACGTGGAGGGTGGAGGATTTGCTAAATACCAATCGGTATCTGAAAGGTATGATGGTAGATAGTAAAAAATTGAAAAGATGAAAAGATGCTGAGATATATTACTTGAGTACTTGATTTATTTTGAGTGAGTGAGTGAGTGAGTATTTAGACCTTGAGATAGCTGGGCTTTATTTAAGCAATCGTGGTTCGTTGTTTGGATAACCGGTACGTTTCTTTTGAATGCCTTTGGATGTCTTTTGATATCCTACGAGTATAATAATCGTATAGGTAACCATCTCCTTCCTCATATCATTATACTAAACTTGAGTGGAACCAAATCAAATCAATTCAAATCAAATCCAATACATCTAATCTCATCTCGTTCTCATTCGTATCTTGGAGATTGCCTGAGAATACCTAAGAATTGATTTGATTTGTGAAATGCAAAGGGAAAAAGGAAAGTCGAGGATCTGATGGAGTCGAATAGATAGATGAGGGAAGAGGGAAGAGGGAAAAGATTTGAATGAATGGGATATGGATATGGATATGGATATGGATATGGATAATGTTGATGGATGTATACTCGTAGTACTGTACTGTACTGTGTCTACTAGGTAGATACACCCTCTGCATTTGAGTATCTTTAATGCGTGAATCTGAATCTGATTTGGAATCTGAAATCTGAATCGATAGTAGTAGTACTAGTGTGCTGTGCTGATACTGTACCGGTGTTTTATTTTTCTTCACTCCATACCTCACTCACTCAATATCCTCATAACTACGAGTACCGGCGCCAAGCGCCAAGTGCCGACTAAATACTGTACCCCTCTACCCTCAATTAATCACCTCCATACTCTGCATCCCTTTTATCATCTGCATCCCCTCAATCCCTTAATCATCCGAATCAATGACCTCTATCCCTCAACCCGTCCACACTCCATCCTTCATACTCCAACCCATCAATCCTCTATCCCCTTATCCTCTCTGCAGAGCCCTCCATAGTCCATACTCCATCCTCAATCCCCTCAATCATATCAATACTCTATCTATCTAAATATCCAAACACCACCTTCTCCATCCAGCCATCCAGCCATTACATCCAGCCATTACATTACCCCAAAACCTCTTTCCTTTACTATCCTTTACCATCTCTTGGTACTTTCTTGGTATTTCCTTAGTATATATTCTTCAAGAAAGTACCAAGAGATTTCCAAGAGATTTTTTTTTTATCTGGATGAGATTTGTTTGGTACTCGTATGAGATAAAGATATTTGAGATTAGATACTGTATGAATGCAGGGTATTATAATGCAAAGGGGAGATAAACGAATTGATAAATAGATGGGTATTGGTAAGATGACGCGGTTACGAGTGTTTAATTGCGTAAGGGGTGGGGGTGAGGATGAGGATGAGGATGAGGATGAGGATATTGATGGGGATGTTGAGGTTGTGGGGTTTTATTGAGGGGAATGGAAAAGGTGGGTAAAGTACCTATCTATATATACCTACCTACCTACCTACCTACCTACACAAGGGAGATACGAGTAGAAACACAAGAGCTAACGATGAATGATGAGTACAACTCGAGTATCATAAAATAAAAACCTAAAACATCCCAGAGAGCAGATGATTACGCTTCCCGTGGACGGCATTTCCCTCGTACTTTGGCTAATTGAATCTAGGCAAAGACTGGGCTCGGCTCGGGCTAAATATAGTACTGTAAAGCAGGGATTGATTTGATTGATTGATTGATTGATTGAATACATTCCCGCCTTCTGATAGTGTAGTCTATAGATAACCATATCATTTATCTCACACATGCATACTCCATCCATCTCTTACTGGCTATTCGCTCTTTCAGTAGCCCCAATCTTCCCATTCACTCACAATGCACTGTACCACATTACAATACAAGACAAGACGCGACACTGCATCGCCTTCTTAATTGGGGTGGTACAGCCCACAAGATACTGCGGTGTGCTGCGGTGTGGTAGCCATTGAACCATCATCGCCTTCAAGCTTTTATCCACAAGAACAGATTGAGAAGGAGATAAAAGAAGATGGACACTTCATCTAACATTGTAAAGATATCAAGCAGACTGAATAGGAAAGTGATAAAAATTCTCTCCATTATCTTTGAGATCCACAGACTTCGCATATTGTGAATATAAATCTAAAGACACAACCACCATTCCCCAAAAAAACAATCTGCAATTCATTCCCATCACACTTTCGTCTTCATACACACTCTCTCTCTGTACGACCCAGCTCGCATTCGCCATGGCACCTATCCTCAATCTAGCCTTCGCTCTCGCGATGCCCGCTCTCTCTTTGGCGGCAGCACTCCCCAACACGGATCTTACAGATCGAGCCACGACTCTCGTGGGTACACCGGAGATCGTTGGAGGAACCGCGGCTGCTCTTGGCGAATTCCCCTATATCGTCAGTTTATCCTACGGCGGTTCCCATTTCTGTGGTGGTCAACTCCTCAATGCATATACTGTTCTCACGGCAGCTCATTGCTCCGTGAGTTACTCTGTCTCATCGGTCAAAGTTCGTGCTGGAACTTTGGTAAGTTTTTCACTCTTCCTTTGTCGTGTTCGAATCAGAGAGTACAATCTCTGAGACGACTCTCCATCTTGTAATGTCCTGACTTGTATAAAGAACTATGCATCCGGCGGTACCTCAGTCGGTGTTAGTAAGGTTGCGGTTCATCCTTCCTACAACTCGGCAACAACCAATAACGACATTGCGCTTTGGCACTTATCTACCGCTCTTCCAGTTAGCTCCACTATTGGCTATGCTACATTGCCGGTACAAGGCTCGGATCCAGTCGTTGGTTCAACAGTCACAACTGCAGGTTGGTAAGTAACTCCTCACTTATCTAAGCAAGTTTGGAAGAAAGTGTTAATTTGAAGAAAATAGGGGTCTTACGAGTGAGTCTGGATCAACCTTACCATCAGCTTTGAGAAAGGTCTCGGTTCCCGTCATCTCGCGTACTTCCTGTCAAGCTGAGTATGGTACATCTGCCGTCACAACCAACATGTTCTGTGCAGGTTTGGCTGTAGGTGGTAAGGACTCCTGCTCTGGTGACAGTGGTGGACCAATCATTGATGCTGCTACCGGTGTTTTGCAAGGAACCGTTTCCTGGGGTCAAGGATGTGCTGAAGCTGGTTACGCTGGTGTTTATTCCAGAGTGGGCAACTATGTAACTTACATTAAAGCCGGTCTCTGGACCGGCTTGTAAACGTCGAGTAGATGGCCTGGTGGAAGATTTAGGGATGGGCACAGGAGATGAAGAATGGATAAAATGGATAACATGATAGGTGTTGGTGGCAGCGCAACTATAGTATGAATTAGTTAGGCCCAATCTGAAGAATCATATTATACTTGTGACTTCACATATTCAGTTTACTCACAAGCTTTTGGAACGGCACAAAAATGACCTCTGAGTGAAAAGTTACCATGGTGTTCTGACATGTACAATTACAAGAGCCTTTCCCCTAAACTCTCACTGTATCACAGAGTACCGGGTATTAGTTCTACCGCTCGCGTATAGCGAAAGCTCGAGAGTACACGTCTCTGGATCATCAAAGCATTGAGTTCGCATTCAACATGACTTAGGAAGATTCGTGCCGTAACTTTGCACTGTTAGTAAAATCGAATGAAGCCAAACTGCCGTGGAGGTATCTTACAAGTGCCTCTTCACTCTCATACTCTACTCGTGATCCCTCGTAGAATTTACGTCGATACTGTAGTCTGCCTCGCGAGAACCAATCAATGCTGATGATACAAGCTAAGATGCAGTAAATGACGCTGATATAATTCATATCTATTATCATATCATATCAGTATAGTTAAACACCATATTGTTGCTATGACTTACTGGATGCGGTCACTGGAAGATGTGTTGGAAATGAGTACCTGTAAGGTGGAACGTTAACATGTTCTATATATGATGATGCGGACTACTTACATTATAAGCGCAAACAATGTCCAGAAGATTGTTACAATGTTGGCAAAGAGACCAAAACTACCAAGCCAAAAGGGTCCGTGTGAGATCTCATCACGGCCCTTTTTCAGAAGGCAAAGGAGGGGGATGGTATAGGACAAATACGGCAGGACAATACATCCAGTAATCATACTGTGAATTGTATCAAAATTGACCTTCAACTCTATATTGGAATGTATGAGACTCACCTGTTGAATGCAGTTGTAGATATCAAATAAAGAAACCCGAGTATAGCAACGACTGTCGTACTCATGGCATGTGCTCGCAATGGAACGTCCAATTTCACACTGATCTTGGCTAGAGACCTGTGGAATGGAATACCTCCATCTCGAGCAAAAGTCCAGCAGAGCCGCGATTGCCATGTGTGGCATGCAATAAGACAACCGATACCAGTTGCCATGATGAGAGACTCAAGAAGAATTGCGGCAGATCTGTTGCCAACGGACTGGTAGAACAATTCCAGAATCGGTACTCTTGTCAGAGTTCCAACAATGGTATCAAAATTATTGAGACTGAAGAACATCGCAACGACAAAAAACCACGCAGTCGTAAAGCCAATTGCAATGGTAGCCATGATAGAGATTGGAATCACTATTTCTGGTTGATAAACTTCTTCTGCTAGATGTACAGCACTATCAAGGCAAGAAAATGCCCAATTTGTGTTTACGAGACCAACAATGAAGGCAATGCCATTGTTTGACCAGCCAGTATTGTTTATGAATGTTGCGAAGACAAATTTTAGGTTTTGATGCGTCGGGGCTTCCGATGGCACGGCAATGAGGATAACCGCGAATGATATTAAAGATGTGTAAAGAGTGACTGTCCCAAGTGTCGGAATTACTTTGCCATAACAATTGAAAAGAAAGGCAAAGAGATTGATCACTTGGTATGCAATAAAAACATGCCATTCATGAACGACACTGTAAACTAATTAGTCTTCAGTCTCCAAATAGACTGTTCTTGTAAGAACTCACAAATCTGAATGGTTTAATTGCCAGCATCCAACTGCTGCTGATGCAACTGCCAAAGATACACTCGCAGACGCAAATAGAGATCCAGCCCATGCACAATACCCAGTCACAAATGACAAAGGCCTTGCATATCTTTTGGGTGCTAATTCCATAGCCCAAAAATGTTGTCCTGCAGCATTTGGCATTGCACTTGCCAGTTCCGACAACGAGCATCCGATACATATACTCACAAGTGCGACGAGGGGTATCCCATACACAAAGAGAGCAGGACCACCGGAGTCGATACCTGTGATGAAGGCACTGGAAATTCCAAACCATGAATTTGTGATAGAGAAACCTTCACCCAGTATTGACCATACAGTAAATTTACGACGCATGTCGTGATTGTTCACGTCGTCTTCGTGTATTATTGCATCTGGGAAAACATCTTGATCGTAAATGGTTGCATCGGGCGACGAGATATCGTCAAGCTTTGGGGTATCCATAGTATCGTTTAGATCTCTGTGATCTCTCGAGAGATATTGGATTATGTATAAGAGGTAGTCGCATAGGGCTTCACAGTTGTGAATCGCGTTGGGCTTGTCGATATCTCAAGCTGTTGCTAATGTTGTTCTCCCTGTGTTGTATCTTGCGAAGGGGAATTTCTGGACAACAGAGTTCTCAAGACACGCTCATTTAGTCTCCGTAGAAATGCCGAATAGAAATCGCGCTTTCGCGAAGTCAAACTTCCCAGATTTCTGAGAATATAGAGAATATAAAGTTTATTCCTGATATAAACGAAATGTCTTATTGTGGTAATTTGATCCATCAACTACCCACTTTTGAGTGAAAGACGAGCAGGAGGAAGACGCGCTGCAGATAAGATATTCGAACTTCAAACCTTATCGTTATCATTGCTTCAAACTCATATATAAGAAGTTGTATGATTAAAGTTTAGCAGAAACGGTCTAATAATGGTAATGAGACACAAATGTTTCTTCATGGTTTTCAAAGTTGACCGGTGAAGCGTGTGCACGTGATACATTTTGGCTAGCTTCATTCTTGTCATGTTCTCTCTTAGGATGACCATAACTGCATACCTATGTCAGGTTATGTTTCTGATTGAATGTAGGATAAATAGGGTATGATTCGCACGCAATTTTTTCGACAGAATGATAGAAAAATTGCGGGAGTATGGAGACTACTCCAACGAAAACCAAAGACCGCAAGACCGTAAAGGAACGACATCGTGTAACGACCAGCAATACGGATTCTGTCAGCTGAGCCTGTGAGAGATGGAATTTCATCTTGACTTCATCCGAGGGTAAGTTATAAACATAACACGTTTCTGAAGTATTGGTATATGTGAGATTCTGATATTAGGTTATTGATGTAAAGGTTGATGATGTCTTCGATTGATCCTTGTTTGGTGTTTATAACACAACATGAAGAAGGCAGAACAACTTCGGTGGTATAATCATAATCATCGAAGTGACGCCTTCTCGAAACCTCGGGGGGTACAAACTGTTAGAAATCGAGAAGCGGGCTCAGAAGAGTATATTGTGACTCCTCCAAATTGCAATAGCCTCCACGATATTACAGCATGGAGTTCTTATACCTAATGTATTAAAATTTATTTTCAGACCTTTCTTTGTCTTGGATGCGGTAGGAACGTACATAGATCGTTGCTCCAACTAGCTATGGGATTCGTTATTATTTATTACACTGTTTACATTTGGCTTGTGAATAGCAAAAAGGGAGGGGAGTAAACATCATAACATCATAGTCACTCACAATCGAAAAAAATACAAAAACACAAAAACGACACCTAAGAGATTCGAACTCTTGCTCCCGAAGGAAATGCCTGACTCTGTTTATACAGTAGCAGGGCATCGCGTTAACCACTCCGCCAAAGTGCCGGTTTCTATACGGATCACGTCGTTAGAGAGATATAATATGTTTAGATGCACAAGGAAGGAATGGTGGGGCCGTGGGGCATCGTATATTGCGATGGGATAACTTTAGTGGGAATGTTAGGAACAAGACTTCAATAGTCTTAATGAGACAATCACACCTCTCAATTACCGTCTGCTGCAATTTACGCAATCAAAAGGGGTCGTGGAGGCTGTGCTTAAACAGCAACATTCGTGTGAAGTCACCTCGCAAATCCCAGAAAGAAATATATTTCATTAACATTGTCGTTGTCCTCACCCTATCGTTTGACAGCGAAAGAAAGAGAGTTTGCTTTGTACTGTTGCTAGAGAAACAGCTACTCCCATATCATGATTTCCCTCGTTGAAGTCAACGATGTCGGGGAATCCGTTGAAATTCTGTCTATTGTCAGGGATTGAAAGCTGATATCTTGGCGGATTCTTGGTATTGTGGCTTTTATATTGTTGTGTTCACATGTCGTATGATTAAAGTTAGCCGGCACTATGATCTCCCCCGCCAAGGCTATATGAATACCGAGTATAATTCCATGGTGATGAATTCAAAACCTTGCATGTAGTACTGCGGTTGAACTTCTAGAACCTCATCTGCGACCTCATCGGCGTCACCGTATGATTATGTATCGCTCTGATGGTCTTATGTAAGCTATGGGTGAAGGCTTGACGGCTAGTTGCAGATGTTGCTTTTATGGTAAGACTGTGAAGCGCCGACTAGAGGTCTGGAAATCGGTCGATCAGCTATCTGCCCACCTAGTACTAGGTCTTCCTTCACTTGTTACCACCTCTCGACGCCAAAGTCTTGGGCTGCTATGGTATTTCTTCCCGACGCTGGCTGAAATGCATTCATTTACTAAGATGAAGTTCTACACGATTTTGCTCTGACATGTCATAGAGTGACTTCGCCAAAAAGTAACAATGCCTCGCGCAGCTGCCACAAGAGATGAGGGCCATGAGGCAACTTTCCCTGTCGTCGAGAGTGTATATATATCCCCAAATTCACGATTGCTCGATATCCAGTTTTCAGATCACAATCAACTCGATAAACAGACTACAGACACATTTCATTTACTCAAGAAAATCAACTACTAGGAAAAAATTGCCTCCAAGACATCAACGCAAGAATCACCATGGTCGTCGAATTACCAACCTCAGATACTTATGTTCGATTTGTGAGCAAGAGGGTAATTCACTATGCACTTTTCATTCCTTTGATATAAGCTCTTGTCTTGCAAATCTGACATCGTTCTTTCTAAACAGACCGGTAAAGTCCTAGCAGATGGCAAAGAACTTTATCACACAGATAAAGATCCAGCCAAGGCGGAGCATTGGTGGAGAATCATCCCAGCTAATGGACAAACTAACCGCTACATCATCAAAAATGTCACCACTGGGCGAGCCATCTGGTGCCGCTACAAGAGTCGTCGTGTAGGCTGTATTGATGACGATGGGAAGTGGCCGGACAACTGGTTCGTCTTTGAGGAGACCAAGCTCCCCAATTGTAGCGGAACTTTTCGCATTCGCTGTCCATTTACCAACTGCGCTCTTGCCTCACGCACCGACCAGAAGCCTGAGGTTGATGGAATTATGTTGAAAGATGACAATTCACCCGACAACGAGGAACAACATTTCTCGATGAATTTCGAGGACATGGAGGTCGAGAGCATTGAATATGATATCAAAAGTGGTAAGAAATCGTCAGAAAAACCAGCGGCAATTGCTCAGCAGGACATGGAGAACGCAACGGACACCGAGCAAATTCAGACTTTCACCTACAACGAAGACAAGGCAGAAGAGCATAGCTTCGAGCACTCTCACGGCTTTGAAGTCTCCATTGCTCAGAAAATCAAGGTCCAAGCATGGCCGATCTGGACCGGTGAATTGGAAGTCAAGGTCAGCACAAAGAATGAATGGAAATGGGGTGAAAAAAACACTCTCACGACCAAGTGGGGTATCAGTCAAGCTCTTAAGGTGCCCAAAAATAGTACATTTGTGGCTACTTTGACGGCCACAAAGATGGAGATTTCAGTACCATTCAAGATGACCTGGATCGCCAAGGATTCTGGCGCGAGAAATGTCACCTATGGTGTATATACAGGTGTTTCATACTATGGTGCTTCCACGAATGTTAAAGCAAAATCTGGTGCTTCGGAGACTACCTATAGGGATGAGAACAGGTCGTTTGAAGATGATGCCGAAGGTATTGAGGGGGATGATACGGGTGAAGAACAAACCTACCGGGAAGAAAATGAGCAAGCGGGCTCCTATGATTCGTATGGAAATGAAACGGCGTATGATGCGGATCAGTCATATGATGGCCAAGGATCATTTGAGGAGAATCAAGATTACAATACTGGCGCGGAACAAGAGGAAGAAACCCGTGTTGAGCCGGAATATCAAGAGAACATGCCATATGAAGAGGGCTACGAGGGCGACGATGGCCGCCAGTTTGTCGAGGTAAACTACGAGGAACAGGATTCATACACACAACGCAACGAAGACGGCGAATCGTACAATACTGGCTACCAGCAGAACGAACTTGAAGATACTGGTGGCCAAGAACGGCCGTCCTATGAGCAATCTCAGCAATCGACCTACTACGGACAAAATTCCTATGAAAATGGGAATAGCTACGAGGAGCGCCAGAATTATGAGCCCGAGATAGAAAATCTATCCCTCGAAGAATCTGGGCCAAGCTACCGAAACAACGCAGAATCTTACTCAGGAGGCTATGGTCAGCAGACTTCTAACAATGATGGCTATGAAAACAATCAATTCAATAATGAGTCTACCGAGCAAACATCCTACAACTCTACGTATCAGGACACCGACCCATCACGCGAGTGTGACAATTTTGACGAGCAGCGATATGGCTTAGGAGAAAGCGAAGATAATGCCTACGCTCAAGCCAATGGTTATGATCAAATTTTTAAACCTAACTACGAAAATAACACGTACGGTCAAGTCAGTGACTTTGAGCTATCTTCCAATGCTGTCTACGATGACAATACCTACGATAACAACGGTGGTTACAGTAGCACTGTGTATGGAAGATCCTCTGAGCCGACTTATGAAGAGAATACCGAGTCTTCCTATAGTAGATACTAGCCAGCCAGCCTACTGTCTATTCTCGACTCATGACTCATGACTCAGGATCCCTATACCTTCTTCTTTCTTTCAACATATAGCGCATGTGGAGATAGTCGGAGGAGATAAGATATGTGTTACCTGCAGCCAGCGGTCCAGCATTACTATTGTCTTACTTTATTCTTACGTATTGCATGGTGGGAAGAGGTGTGATAAATATTCCAGCATAGGGATATATATTGTCGGGAAACTTCAATTCTTTCATTTCTTTTTCGTCTGCTTTTTGGAATTTAATTTACAGCATTTAGATTTCTGTCGTCTAGCTAGAACCTCAATTTATCACTTTTGTATGCGTTTTTGGCTCTAGAGGATGTTGGTATAGGTGTTTGCTTGTGAGGTTTGGGGTGAGATGGTATACTCAGAGTGGGTATTGTATGATGTGATTATGATGATAAAGATATCAAGAAACTGTGGGCTAACGTGGAGTACATGATAGTATAATCTTGCTTGAAATATAATAGGTTCAGTACTTTCTAAATACATGATTTGGAACACTTCTGAGTGATGCTCTACAGATCTTTTATATGTCACTTTTCTTATTAACGTATGTAGGTTTATTTCCTGTATGCATTTATTTTGATAACATCGATCATAGTGGGTTCGATTCATGTTTTCTTTCTATTAGCTTATGGTTGAAGTAGAACAATGTGATGGTAACTCTCTAGTGATGTCTTCAACAGTTGATTTGCTGAAACTCTATATTTCACAGTCACTCAATCACAGTAACTCAATTCATTGAATTTGTCAATTAGCCCTTACCTATACTTCTAGTGGGGTATTGAGATAACTCTTAGGGAAACATGCTTATTGAAGGAATTTGAGTGAATACAGGAGCGGAGACATGAAATGTTAGTTGATAATCTCAACATCTCGAAATTTAACAATGATTCCCACTCATCCTTATACCACGTTATCCATATACTTTCTTTATGTGGCCTCTTATCACAAAATCTGGAGCCAACGGACGTAAGAGCTTCTAGATGGAAGATGGAAGAAACGCAGAGCATATATGCGAGGTTTTCTTAAAAGTATCTGGAAAGAAACTTTTCATCAAGAAAGTTCATCGAACCCTCCTTATTTCTGACTGGCCGGAGGAAGAATATTCACTTTGTGTTTTTGCCACGGAACATATACGGTTTATAACGGATACAACTTTTCAACCGTATACCAAAATACTGAGTACGTACCCACAACTACAATTCCAACTCCAAGATAAAAGAGTGAAATGCCTCCCTCGCCAGCTCACCTCTCCACCTACATCACCCCACTCTCGATCACTAAGCTCCACCCTGAACCTCTAACAATCTCAACTACTCCAACCATGGACCCCTCATCCTCTCCCGTAACCTCTCCCGCATCCCCACCACCCCACAACCCATACGCCGAATGCACCATCACCAACCCCACCACCTTCTCCGCCTGGCTCGACGACATCGGCCCCTCCAACACAAACCTCATAACACACCTCACACTACTCCCCTCCCAACACCTCAGACGCATTGTGTCCCTCTCCAGCCTCGGAGACACCCTCGGTGATTCCATCGGCGACACCTTAACCTTCTCAGAACTCCAATCCTGGATTGCCCTCCTCCAACGACTCGCCAATCTCGCCACCGGAATTCGTTCTCTGACCGTTTTCTTCGCAGCAGATGTATCGGGCGGAGATACGCATCGCTATCGCCGGGGCGTGGGTGAATGTTTGGGGTTTGTGTGGGCGATTGGAAAGTTTAATGGCTTGGATTATGTGGATTTGCAGGGGTACTTTCCGCTGCAGTGGCCGTATTATTTGAGGGGGGTTTGGGGTGAGGAGGGGACAAGGATTTATAATTCGAATCCGGCGCCGGAGGGGTTGTTATGGCAATGGAGGCAGGGGACTGAGAGGTTGGATCCGAGGGATTTTGGATGGCAGTGATTTTGTGGGATGGGATGGGATGGGATGGGATAGATGGGAGCGCTGGGTTTCGATGTGCTAGAGAAATGGGTGCGGCGATGGTTAGTTATGGGCTTGCTTTTTTGGTTGTATTGATCGAGGGCTCGGGCATTGATTTCAGAGAAGGGAGCGGTGGTGATTGATCTCATTTACTCATATTGGCGTGCAATAACATATCTTTGAGATGCGAATGTAAATTTCAAGAAATCGAAAAACAAAACACAGAGTAATTAGACAAAGTGACTGCATAGCACTGTAAGAATACGGACCTATGAAAGAAAACCTTGCATGTATCTTCGATACATGACTTGATTTTTGTCCACAATGCTTGCATTAAGACTGAAAGTTCTTGTCGCTTTCGAACGATACTATACCGGGGTTCCCAACGAGGCATCACTTCTAAAAGAAGTGATCTTTTGAATAGCTCTTCGATTGAAAATATATGACACTCCTGAATCCCCAGCGTACGAACTCGAAAAGGATTCCTTAAATTTTCTCTGATGGTGTGAAACAAGACTTGGGTAATGCCTAGAACTGATTACTGTCATGACCCAAAGCTTCATCGCTCAAAGCTCCACCACTCATTCCCAGATCCATACACACCTTATTCATCTATTTCATCAACCCCATTTAGCATCTATCCCGTGTTGAACCCACCTTCTTGGCTGACTGCCCTTTACCGTTATCAATCGAAAAAGATGACCAGAGTGATGTTTTAATCCGAGGACCCGAATCTCCAATTCAATTTTAAATAATTAAATAACGCTCTCAACGTGACTTCGATAGGAAGAACAAGTCTTGGGCTGAGCTAGGGCAATCAAGCCAAAAGCAAAGTTTACTGTTTACATTACATAGACACAAAATTAATATACCGGTACATCATATCATAATATGTAAACATAAAAGCGAGAAACCAGTTGAAAATCGAAAGAAAAGTGCTTTTATTGTTGATTACTATGAACTATAAACTATGAACTGAGCGGAGGAACAACCGCAACGTGAATCTATCCACAAAATATGTTCTGCCTACGAATTTCCGTCTTGACCTCCACCTTGAGGTTTGCATCTACCTGGGTAGATGAATTGGCAGGTATCTTGAGATGTGCATTCAGTTGAGTTTTCTCTCAGTACGTACACTACCGAGAGGACTCGGGTAGGTAAGCAGTTTTGTGTTTCTTCCCTGCCGTATGGTAAAAATGATCGATGATTTGAAAGAGATGGACTTGAGCATTGATACCGGAGAAATCTTTGCGACGACGACCAGGATGCAGTACGGACGGAGAAATGATTATTGAACCCGGTATGACACCTTGTCGTTGAAACGGTTCGAGACGCTAGTGCATGCTATGTGAGATTCGATAAATGTGACATTCAAATCTTGCCAGAAGAATAATCATCCTCTTCGTCAGAATCATCATATTGCTCATACACCGCATCATAAGCCTCATCGATGAGCTCTTGAATATCTCTGTTGTTTTCATTGTCTTCGATTTCGGCGGGGTTGAATACTTCATCGATACGCTTGGTGATATAGTTGTTCCAAGTGTATCGAAGCTCCTGTTGGTTAGGCTCGGAAGAGAGCCAAATCTTGTATGTAGCGCTAAGCGACGGAGATGTAGAGTTGATGCAATAAGATGTAACGGATTCTAGCTCTAGCTGATGGATTCTTTTGAGGTTAGACTTATTAGTCTTCGAATATTGGCAATCTCCAGTACCATTCTGAACGACATTCAGATCCCTATCCATGGTTTTCTCTGCAATGAGACGGTATGTGGACTTTGTATCATTATATTTGGCCATGCGATTTGGAGACGAACAAAATTGCCAACAGAGTCAATGTTCCAATCTTCCACCTGACCAATACTCGCCGAGAGTTGATTTTTGAGTTCGTACAGTCCTGAATTATTGCGGAGGCCGCAATCTAACACACTAGACTGAATCGCGGTGAGAGTCTTAAGTTGAGAGCAGGCAGAGATGAGTTTTTCCCAGAAGATAATAACATGAAATGCTCTAGCACACATTTGACGCTCCCCGCAACCACAAGAGACACACGGATGGTAGTCAAATAATTGAAGAGGTACAGCCAGATGCTCAATCTTAGCAAAGAATGGCGGAATAAGCTCCATGGAGCATCTTCTGAGGTTATGAAAATCCTTCTCGCTCATGTTGAGGACGACGGTGGTATCTTGATGGATGTAGATTGGCTTGCTTTTGTCGCGAGACGGAAGCGCAATTGGTAAGTGTAGTGAACCAACCTCGCGAAAGGCCTTTGAAACGAGATGAATTGGAGTGTATTCCACCTCTTGTTCCTCAATGAGGAAGATCCAATTCTTGTGATCCCGGCAGACCAAAAGTCTCCGTGAGATGTTACGTTTTGGGAGACAAAGCCTGATTATCATGGCTTGAACTTCTTTAGGCAACTTGTCGAATTGTGGGAATTGAGTGACATCCAAGCCCGTGTGGCCAATACCATAGAACGTGGTAGACGATCCTAGACCGGTGACATAGATCTGATGGTTGATCGTTGTCGTTGAGTTGTGGTTCGCTGTGATTGACATAGCAGAGGGCTCCATTTTCTTGTATCCGTCTTCTCGTAGTGTCAATATAGACTGCTTGGCTTCGTTCCGGGAAAAGATTTCTACTGTTTCTTGCATCTATTATCAGCAGTTGAAGCGCAAAATATCAAAACAATAATCTTACCATCAGAAGTCATCTTGCTGGTGACTCTTGGTGGATCCTGGGGTGCTTGGAGTGGTTTGCTCAAAAGAGGGATTTCTGTATCTCATGACTTCCGTCAATAACTGACTTGAACCATAAATGACTTCAACCAACTGAAGAGTATTAATAAAATAAGAAGACTTACCGTTGAAAGCTATGGCTTTGCCTGACCAAGATTGCAGACTTGAAAGTTGTTGAGGAAAGAAGTGTGCGGAAACCTTTTGAAAAGGTACGAAGATAAATTGAATTTTATGAGATCTTTTGCGATGACTTTCTCGAGGACCCGAGATTAGCAAGCCACTCAAAGGGCCCAAGTTACTTCCACTTGGGGCAAGTTCTTGGTCAAATATTATATCGGAACACATCAAAGATAAAATACATGTTTGGCTGGAGTCAAACTCAATTAGAGAACAGTGAACTTTCACCTCATAGCATATTTCTTTTCATGAGACTGTGTTATGGTATGTCTGTCCAAGTTGCTAAGAGACCGAAAGGAGAGGATATTTATCCGATGAAGGGTCAATGTGTTTTTGGCAGAATTTCCTTTCTTGATCCCTTTGACAGAATTTCCTCTACTATATTGAATGAGGCAAAAATAAGTGAAAGCCTTCGAACAACACCTAGAATCACGCAATACAGCATTCGTGGAGGAGGATACAGGCTGAGAGCTAGGTAACAAGGGGCACAAGAACATTCGATGTGGATATAGATAAAATTTGAGAATTTGGGTAGAGAACAGTGGTGGTAAAAAACAGGATTGTTTCATTTGATGAGGTGAAGAGAAGAGAGTATAATGACTCCGAACTAACCTTTTGTATACCATGAACGTTTCTCTTTCACCAATGCCCATCCGCAGTATGAAGATCAAGTTCATGATATGTATCGAGTCTGTGCGAAATCTCGAAAGGGTATCCTCACAGTCGTAAGTGAAAGTATATCGATGGGCACTGGCAGGGTCTTGGAGAGCTCGAATTTGCCAATGTATCATCGAAGCATGTTTGGGCATCTAGTCTCACTGGCTTGTATTACAAGCTTAGGATTGACGAGGATTTGAATGTATAATGGTGAAGTATATTCTTCTGATGTGCTAACTAACATGCATAATACAAAAAAATACAGAACTCTGAGATAAATTTCAGTTGTTATTGCCACCTTGGTCTCGCAGATATGTTAGAAATAACTATCCAGAACTCTAAGATGATTTGCAGTTGTTATTAGCACCTTGATCTCGCAGATATCCTCAAAAATGACGATTCATCGCTCGTACGTAATTATTTACCTTGTGTTGTCCCGCGGGATAGTCCTTAGATTTGTCTCGTGCTTCGTAAGATTTAGTAAAATCCCTTGCCCAGCATGCCTCTTCGTAGCACATCCACTCTCGCTCAAGGCCTTCCCAGTCGTCAGCGAAACAAGAAGACGCCGTCCTTCGTAATATCGCAAAGTTCAATTCAGGTGGCGTCCAGATATCATAATCGGGGTCTCCAGGATATATGTCTCTCGGAGTGGACTTTAAAGCGTCAAAGTTCTTTTCAAATAAGTCCCTTAAAAATCCCATTTGATGATCATCTCCAGGTTCCCACCAGGAGGCTCCTTCAATCTTGTCAAGTTGTATTAATGCTACTCCACAATTGCCATTGAGACCATATATGCGCCCATCGTCGAGACCTCTAACAGCTTTACGTGATCCTGCTGACAACCCTACGCCTTCGCGATCAATGGCATGGCATTTCCATGCATCAACCTGTTCGGGTAAGTGATTCCAGACATCGGTTTTGTCATAGCGATTTTGTGATAACCACTTTGAGAAGCTCTCACTCTCAAACTTTATCACATCATCGAGGACACGGTTGTACTGTAGATCAAAAATACGTGGTCGAAGACTCCTTGAAGAATACCTCCATTCATTGACACGATAGTCGGGAGAATGAGGTTTGACTTCATTGCCATCCCGCCAAGCGCCCGAACTCTGTGAAAATATCAGTCGATGGAGTTGCGGTAATCGTGAAATCATGGCAGCAGGAGTACATTCTTTTCGGCGTGTACAGGGGTTGTTGCTTGAGGTATTCCAGCAATCATAGTCAATTGCAAGATGTTTGAGCTTCTCACGGCAATTTTGCTGCTCTAATGCGTGAAGAAACCCGGTATTGTGCAAATGTCCGACTCTATCGCCGATGAATATGATGTCTTTATCCCAGTCCACCCATCGCCCAAAACATCTTGATCTTCTTTTGAGTGCAATCTCTCTAGATTCACGATTCACTCGCGCGAGGGGAGGCTCGAAACATCTCTTTTTACAACCGCAGGGTATCGCAAACCATTGAAAAGAAGTAGGGGTACCTTCATGGTCGTACAGATCTGGTATGTTGCAGACTTCGATGACGTGCGCCGGTTGCGAGTCTTCAGCAGCATTCCAGATCATAGTCCTCAACTCGTTGGGAAGCTTGGAAAAGGAGTGGAAGGTCGATGGTGGTAGTGGTGGATGAGAAGCTGCTTCACGCATTTCTCTCGCTCTTTGTCTGGTCAAAACCATGGTGGGCGTAATTGCTGATTCGAATAAGCTTTTAATGCTGTTCAAATTATTAGGCTATTGTTAAAAGTGTGAATCTGTATTCATAAATGTTCGAGGTTATGATATTTATGATAAAGAAGATGTCAAGATGGCAAGATGGCAAGTAGGAAAATTGAAAAGAAGAAAGAAGGAAAGATATGGAGAGATATGGCAAGATGTCAAATCAAAATTAGTCAGCAATCTTAGAACAGAATCTACCAATCAAATTCATAAGATTTTCTATTACGACGTTGCTATATTAAACAAGGAATTATTCCTTGTATAGTAAGTACTACTCAACTAACTGAGTTTGAAGCGAACTGCATTTGGACGAAGCCAAGCTATATATAGTTTAGTCTTAATTATTTATAGTTGCAATTATAGAACCAAAATGAACTTTATTTTTCAGATTCTTCTAATTATATAATCTATTTAGTTTCTTGATATGATCTACAGATAGATCCAATACGGTTCGCTCCAAATTCAGTTAGTTGAGACAAGTCGGTAATAGTACAAGGAAATCCGTCATTTTTAACAGGTATCCTTTTCAAATAAGTGTAATTGAGGTTTAAAGCTAGTCCTCCGATATCGATGGCCACCCCCTCTTAGACTCCCGGACCCCAGACCCCAGATCCCCTTCCCTTTCCTTATTATCGTCGTCCCACCCCTGTCGTCGCTAACCCTTAATCATTCAAATGAGTTATAAGCTCGAGATTTAAATTGCATTTCGTGCGATTAGTATAATATTAATTAGTTCGTATACCGATACTATATTCAAAGTTGTATATCAAATAAGATCAAAGAGACATCTGCTTTTCCTGACTAGGAACCAGACGGCCATTTTATAGCGATCCGACTATTAGTTTAGTATTCTATACTAATACTTAAAACGCCGTAGAAATAGCGGCCAGTGGGAATTCTGGAACTTCTGGTATAACGAGTGCTACTCCAGATATCGTCACAGCTACTGAATGCTTACGACTACGGTCATATCAAGCCAATCAAGTCATGCTATTAGAACTAACTGCTGTTTATAGCATATGCAAACTCCCTTCTTCTCCTCTCCTTCATCTCCTAAGTCTTTACAAAACTTTATAATTTTCCATCAATTTATCTATTTCTTCTATTCTGTCACGGTCTTTTCTTCGAGAAAATCAAAACATCATGAGCGGTCATATTGAATATTCTTTTTTTGAAATATATTATCGATTAAAAAATTAATCTTTATATGAATTTGCATTAATCTCTATAAAATATATTCTACTCTATTTTAATTGCATAATCGTTTTTTCCTCTCTCTTTCTTTCTTAACCCTTCTCTATATATATATATTGTATTCTCGTTTAAGCATTTCTTTTTCTCCTAACCTATATAGTTTTCCTAATCAGAATTATCCACCATTCTCTATCCATTCTCTATCCAATCCCTGTCCATTCTCTATCCATTTCCCTATATATATCTACTCACTATCAATTTTTTCCTTTAACCAAGGATAGAAAAGGAGGGGAGCTGCATAAGCTAATTATCAATAGTATAGCAAGTTCGACCATTCCGCCAACTTTGCAGCACAGCGGTGGGCATCTAATTGTATACTTCTCGTTCGTATTTCATACGACTAGTGCAGCATATATTGTGATGCATATATGAAATTAATCAAGGAGGTCAGTGTATTTATACTATGACTTTGAAATGATAGTCACATTGATGAACCGTGACATTTTTCACTGCATTTCACGAATCACTATTATCTGGATGCCGCTTCTAGTATGTATTTCATGGATCTTCTAGTTTATGTTGCACAAATTAGAAAAACGGTCAAGTCGAATAGCATTGCAAATAAAAGCATTTCAGTCTTTGTCTTTCCATTGCTGGCTGTAATATAGGAGCCGGGGCCTTGATAATATCGCCTGTATACATACATCCTTTGCATTAGATTCTTGGAGTTTGCGCTCAAATCATCTGTATCAAACTGCAACTTAGATTGAAACGTGTAGATGTACAACCTAGAGAAAAGATGAACGAAGCTCAAATGAATACCCGCGGGTATCTATAAGTATCAAATATGATCATGGAATATATTCAACAGTTTGATGATAAAAATTTAGATCGTTTACTCGAGTATTATCCAAAACAATCCGAGAATAGCGATCTTGAAGATCTATAGATGTCCGTTGGTCGAACTCACTGGAAAGGAACAAGCAGATGGGTGAAACTGATGTACTAAAGAGTTTAGGAGAGAGACTGGAGGATGAGTACTACGGACTCAAGTCTAGATGTCATCGATTACTCGATACACATGGAAATCCAGCAAATCTCCATTAAGGCCCCTCGATATCCTCAAACTTCTAGGCTGAAGTTCGTGGATGGGCAGCATGATATTGCCCATTTGTCGCTCACATGTCTGTCGTAGCGGTGTGAAGCGGCAAGCTCGATTATTTATAGGTGTATTTGTGGGGCGACGCACACGTATAGAATTCTTGTCACGGACAATAAGCGTGACTTCGAATTCTGTCTACCGAGCATCCTACTACCTTCTTTCTAAAAGTATAATTTTATCTATACATTACATGTTTAACAATATACTGACGCCCACAATCTTACTTCCTCATTCATAGATTTATTCGTCACGCTGGTAAGACTTCAAAGTTATAACAACCTCTATCTTCCAGAGTTTGCGCGGATATGGATAGACCCAGGGTGCGAAAGCCGCAAGTCAATACATGGAGACAGAGGTGGTAAAATCTTTGTTTTTATCCCTCTGGCTTTATCAACATCTATTACTGTCTGTTTACCATTGATTACTACAGAGTATATATCTCCGATAACTATCCGAGTTTTACGAGTAACTATATATCTACTACCTAGAAAACCCTATCCTATTCTAGAAGATATTTTAATATAAAGATGCTATTTCCCGATGTCCCAATAGCTCACATTGGAATGTGCAGCAAAATTTCAAGACTACGACCTCCTTTCAAGTTACAGAGATAATTTTGTCTGTACTTGGTTGATGTTGGATGTAATCACATACCGGTACTCGTACCGTTCTATGGTTCTACTCTTTGTCTGCAGTTACTCAATTATGATATCCTAAATAGCCTCTCTTTTGATAATACTCTCATATTGTTTGATAAGATCAGCCCTCTCCACACCTACAGCCAGAATCTCTCAACATACACAATATGCTATATTAAACCTTCAATGCATGCCACTGTTTTACTACTGACTAGTTCACGGCTTAGTTTAATCATGAAAGCTGGCTAACTCTAAAAGGCTTAGCCCTTTAGTCCATGATTCGTGCTCAATCAGAACTAAGGCAAAACCTTAAATTCCCTAGTAAAGAATCGTAAGCTTTCCAAGGAAAAATCGCCTACCGGTGTTGGGGATCAATATGGAAGGTGCAACTCTAGCCTAGTCGATTAGTATATAGTCTCACCTCACATCATAATAATAAGGACACCCTTTTTCATACCTACAACCCGAATAACTTCATAGTGACCTACGCAGAGATAGGTTCTTGGAGGGGTTCTGGTTTCATATTCCAATTCGAAGTTAAGCTTGTTATCGTCAAATGTTATTGTTTCGAAACCCTGCTAATATAACACGAAAAGTGAAGATATACTCTTGATCGACTTCAGTACCTTACACTTCAACCTTCTTTTCGTTATCTCCTAGATATTTCTCTTCTCAGCAAGCTCTCTTTCTTTACAATACTCGGGCGGGTCTTTGAAGAGGGATACGCAAAATAACCGAATTTGCCCCTTCAAAATATGATATTTTCTAACATTATTATTTTATAAGGCTTGGCAGGCGAATATAGTAATAATTTCCAATATTGTGGGTTTGATATCAAAGTGTAAAAATGTAAATCCTGTAGTTAATAGCTCTATTAATAAATCATAATATAATAGATTTAAAATTAGGGTTTAGAGTTCCGATTATATAGATTTATAAAGATTTGGAAGGCAAAAGAATAATGAGAATAGCTACAGATTCAGATCGAATATTTATTGGGTTCTAAAGGCAAGGAGGGGATTGATTGATTG